AAATAAGATACACCAGCGGAATTCGAGGATCATAAAAGCATATAATCGTTATAAACGTTGGAAAGCAGTGTTCAGGAGCCATAGTCGGAAAAGTCACTTAAAATCTATAACGAGACGAAAGCAAAAAGACAATCCCCGCAAAAGCATGTCGGAACATATGCATATCCTCACAGCAACGGTCCATAAGGACTTAATCGCCGCAAAGATTATACAAGAACACGACAACGTTTCACAGAAAAAGCCAAATAAATCTCTTACAAGTCGGAAGCGAAAATATCGTTGCTCTTGTCTTTGTCTTTTGTCTGTTTTATGTCAACGTATCGGAACTTTGTCTACGTCTTAGCAAGCATGAGGTCTTTTGTTAAATCAAAATTCGACCAAAAAAGTATTTACAGAAATGGAGAACATAACTATTGGGGCATTATAAAGACGTAAATAACTATTTCACATGTAAACCAACTCGTTTTTTAATTCAATAGCATGCGGCATAGTGCTAACCAGTACTGACTATTTGGGTGGCTGAAAAGGTTTGGTTTTGCAACGTATCATGGGATATATATATGCCTTTCTTCATCAAAACAAATCGCTAAAATCGTAAAAACACTAATTAGTTTCGGTTTTTTCACAGACAAAATGTGTTTGTTTTTATGTTTGCTTTATTTGCCTTGTAAATGGAAATTCTCGATTAATTGTACATTTTTGGAGGTTTTTCTTGCTGTATTTCCTTGCGTGTTGATATTTGTTTGTTTTTTCGCTTCTGAGATTAACTACAATATCAATATTTCCCAATGTTTTTCGAAAACTGAGTGTACGTTACAGACAACTGGCACAGCACTGACATCGTTGTCTAGACTGAGAAAAATGTTGTTAACCTATTTAACTTATCTTTAGCCGATTCATTTTATCACACCTTTCTCCTAGCTTCCCCTGAAACACATTAAAGTCTTATAAATGATATTCTAAAACTCATCCATAATTAATGAGCCAAAAACGAAAGGAAAGGAAATCACAATAATAAATCACGATAAAGTCCCCTGTAGTAAAGTCGGGGGCGGCTTTGAATATTTTCATGGGAAAGTCGGGGCTGATTAGCAATTATGATCAATGAACCCGTGKATGGAGTTCTATATCACTTCTGGTTCGGTGAGCAGTGGTTCTATATCAATCATGGTCCACTGAGCACACTGTTTTAAAACAAACTAATTAGGCCCAACTCTCTCTAGAAAGTGCAAAGCGCAACCAACTCACAAATTGAGGGGAAGTAATATCGAGAATTGAAACAGCCTTCTCGGTTTGTAATAATAAAGATGAACTAATTTCAGTTATTATTCACACATACACACTTTATTCATTATTTAAATACATGTACAACTTCCCAAAAGTTCAYTTCAYATGAAGGTTAATTGTACAATTGTTGAATACTGGAGCCTGCATACCAACATACTTGCTAGCGCTATTTCTGTTCTGACAATTAATATTAGTACATATTTTATCCAAGTCAATGCTAGCTAGTTGTTCATCCGAAACTTCCTCTACCTTTTTTCCTTCTTTGGAACTTACTTTATTTACACTGGAAGGAACAGACAATATATCACTGACTTCTTTCACTTGGGCTTCAGTAGGTCGCTCATATTTAAATAAGGAATCTRATCGATGACCGGTTCTTTCTCTAATTAACTTTTCATGTATGCCCTTTTGAAAATGACTTGAAGCGCAAGTAATTCTTAAGCAATGAGCTGTTTTCTTGGGGAGGCCTGCTCGAGCACAAAGCTTATCTGGCAATATTTTGCTCAATGTATTAATGCCAATAGGTATTTTGTCATACTCAATTTTCCCCTTTTCTTTAGTTGCCTTTGGCCTGAAGTAAAATGCCCCAATTTCATCAGCGAATTGAAAAACATTTGAAAAATAAGTAGTGTACAATGAAATCAAACAGGGACTATGCACCTTACCCATCTCGTTGCAAATGTGCTTGACTACACGTGGCTTGTATTTAAGGTCTTTAA